CTTCGCGGACACCATCGTTGCTCTTGGCAGAGCACTCGAGGTACTTGTAGGCCATGATCTTCTTACGGACCTCCTCACCCTGGACAGAAAACACCGTTAGTCATCGGCTCAAACGCGTAGATGATGCCTGGGCCGTCTCACGACCTGGATGCATGCTGCATCGGGTCTGTGACTCAAGTGGGATTTGAACTTACCTCCTCGGGGGAGACGGGCTTTTGGCTGGTCTTGCGGAGCTCCTCAATGGTCTTCTGGTCGTATCGCAGATCCTTCTTGCAGCCGACGAGGATGATGGGCAGGCCCTGGCAGAAGTGCAGAACCTCAGAGATCCACTGTGGAAGTCAAACATGGTTAGTCAAGAGTGCTTTTCCAAGGCTTTGCCAGCCAGTGACACGTGGTGGACGTACCTTCTCCTGAACGTTGTCGAGAGAGTCAGGGGAGTCAACGGCGAAGCAGATCAGGATAACGTGAGAATCGGGGTAGGACAGAGGGCGGAGACGGTCGTAATCTTCCTGACCAGCCGTATCCCATAGGGCCAGCTCGACGTGCTTGCCATCAACCTCGACATCGGCTACATAGTTCTCAAAGACGGTGGGGACGTAGACCTGTAATCGATTGTAAGCAAAAGGCCTCCCAGCGTGACAAAGTCGGTGGGCATGTGAAAGGCGGAACCGATGGAATCTGATGCCAGCAGCAACTATGAAGCTGGGGATGGTGTAATTTTCACCATCAATCGGCGTGGTGTTCACGTTGTGTCGTGGCACGGGAGAATAGGCGGTGCAGATGGGGATAGGAGTCGGTCGCAAGTGCGTGGCCTGAAAAGGGAGAGTTCAGCGGAGCTTACCTCAGGGAAGGTTCCCTTGGAGAAGACACTTGGAAAAATGTTAGCAAACTGTATTCTGCAAGCGAGATGGATTCTGGAGATCGAGCGGGAGTGGTGAAGATGGATTGATGGATGAATGGTTGGATGAAGGGATGGTTGGTGAGGCGGGCGGGATAGCAAAACAGGACAGCTTCACTCACATCAACAAGCAGGTTTTGCCGCAGGCACCGTCGCCAACAATGACAAGCTTCCGGCGGATCTCGGCCATGGTGTCTGTGGGTGTGTGATGGATTGATGAAGGATTTTGACAAGCGGAAGGCAGTTGAGAGACGGTGGAGATGCTGTTGTTGAGATCTGGAGACCGAATGCAGCGGCAGTGGTGATGACGGGACGGGGAATGAATGGAGGAGGGTTTGGCTCAGAAGGGGGTTTTGAGGAAGAGCCTGGCGCAGGCTGAGAGCTGAGTTGCTGGGTCGCCCGTAGAGGGGGGATGGTGTTTGGTTGGTGGATGGCGGCCTGAAATGGCCTTCTGCCTCCACTGAGGCTCGGCAACCACTCGCCCAAATGCTCACTGCTGGCCTCCGCTGCAGTGCTGGGGAACAGGCTGGAGGCAGGGTAAGATGAACCGATGATGACAGCGCAGGCAGGTACCGCCGCTATGCCACCACCACCAAGGGGGTACCTTTACTTCGCCCCAGCGCCATCCGTGGGTCCTAGTGTGGTTTTTCCTTTGCCCGCCTGGCCTCCTGGCTAATGTTGTCATGTGGGGGGTTTGTACGCCCCTGGCTGCTGGCATCTGCTCTAGGCCTCCGGCGCCAGGCATGATCGCGAGCTTCCTACAAGTCCTATGGGCATTCCCGTCTGTGACTATTACGCCGGATTGCAGGCTTCCGTGGACGAAACCAGTCCTTTCCATGTGCACGAGTAAGACGCCTGGCGGTAGGGAATTGCAGCCTGGTTCCCCATGGTGCCGGGGCCCCCCATGGTCACTGAAGGCGGCGCAGGTAGCTTATCAGCCATTGCTCTCAATGCACGACCAAGGCCAGCAAGTTATGGCCATCAACCAACTACACAAACCTTGCACAAGCCACCACTGTTTCAGCTCCTCCTTGTTCAGTGCGTTTTATCGCCGTTCATCAGTCACTACGGTTGCATCCGTACTGTCGTCCCCCTCCCAATGACAACCATGTCTGTTCGGAACGAGAGGTTGCCGCTGGATTATGCCACTCGCCCAGGTAATTACCATATGAATGAAGGATTGCCAATTGATTAATGTAGTTCGGCACAAGCACCGTAGACCAATCCCATCACGCCTTCACTGTTTTCCCTCCCATGGCCCGGAAGTCCCCGTCGAAAGTCCTGCCTTAGTTCGGAAGTCTCTCTCCCCCGACCTCAAGTGCCTGAGCTGAGGTCTGGCTTCCGACAAACCGTCAATGCGAGCGGTGCCAAGATATGGCTAGGAGGAAACAAAGACACGGCAATTGAGGGCGTGGCTGCACGGTTACCTTGAATCCCCTTTTGGCCTTAGAATGCGACATGTTTGTGACCGAGATCATACAGGTCACACGACCGTATGCAATCGTCTCGTTTCATTGGACACCTCTCAGGCTTGCACGCTGCGGATATGCGTCCCTGTCCTGTCGACTGCACTGTGAATTGTGACGTCCCTTATGCTTTGGCGGGTAGGACTTTTGTACCAGGTGGCGGTGGTCTAGGACTTGGTCGGATTACGTACGCCTGGCCGTGGCTAATGCGCAGCGACAACGCCAACAACAATCAACGGATACGAGCATCAGCAACTGAACAAGACCCATGCACCGGCTTAGCAGGTACGTGTGTAACTACAGATCATCATTAGGGGCTTACACGTGGTTGAAATGATTTCTTTGTCAGGATTGAAACAACCTGGCTTCGCGTAATGTCGGCCCTCGCTATTACTGCCAAAGTATCATGTACGTCCTACCTGTTATTCAAGGTACCTCCCCAGGGCGATACGGAAACACGTTGCCGTTAAATCTCAGGTCAGTGCAGGTACGCGTCCTCTTAGAGTAGTCTGATCTCGCTCTCGTATCTCCTTAGTCTTCGGCTTTTCCATCCCCATAATTAAATAGGAATATCACAGCCAAGGCCCTACTGATAAGCCCCAATGACGCACGCATATATCCGTCCTTTGAAAGCCGTGTGTCCTGCAATGTGCGTAGACGTTTGAGACGGGATGTGGAGTGCGGCAGCCACACAGTGCAACCGGACAGTGCTGGACGCGTTGTCACACTATCCACCGCCCGACCTCCACCACCAACGATCGTGCGGCATGTTCCGCGTGGAGAATTTTGAGTAGGGAAAATTGGATGTGGAATATCCCAAACCGTCACCGCAACGACCCTCAATCAACCAGTCATTGGTGCGACTGCCACAGCCTCGCGTCCGGGATAGTGAAGTCAATCAGTCCCAATTGATTTTCAATTCGGTCTCGACGATGCAGAAGCTTCTCAAGAGGACGGCTCAGGCCCAGCGCCAGGCAGGGCGCCGGGCCAAAAAGATGCACAGGAGAGACGATTTCGATACGAGAAGACGAAACAACCAGTACCTGAAGGTCGCCAACGACGAGATTCGACAAAACCTGAGAGATTCGCGCCGGGCGAGGAAAGAAGACTGGGAAATGGGTCCCCTGGCCCCGAAACGAGACCTTGGCTTCAATGGCTATGGAACGTTCAGGGAGAACTTGCGACAGGACTGGACCAACAATGGCATGAATCCCATCGATCCCAAGGTTCTGGAGCAGCGCTGTGCTTGGGCTGGAGGCGTGAAGCAACTCTGCCTCGCTCCTCAAGATCGTGTGGTCATTCTGGACGGCCCCGACAAGGGCAAGGTGGACCGCATCCAGAGTGTTAACAAGCAGAACGGGTCCGTGACGTTAGAAAACCACCACAAGGTCAGCCTACGTGCAGAATTCCCTGCATCTTTAGACCTCTCGCTGACTTGTTTTAGGCCCTCTTTCAAACCTGGCTCGACGGCAAGCATCATGCCCAGGCAATGCCAATCTCGGTTGGTTCCATTCGTCTGGTATACCCAATCACCAATCCCAAGACCGGAATTACCAAGGATACGATAATCAACGAAATCAAAGCAATCCCCGCAAACATGGAGTCGGAGAACATGTCGCTAGATCGTTGGGAGTATGGGAACAAGTGGGATCGTCTTGTGCTCGGCATCAACGTCTCTATCCCTTGGCCAGAGGTCCAGGCCCCCAAGTTCGAGACACACGACATAGATACGTCTCGAGACAAGGTCGAGGCCCGAACATTCTTTTACAACCTTCTCTCACCTCCCATGCCCGACGTAATCATCGACGAGCTCCGAAACAAGTACTCGAAGTTCCGAACTCGCCACGACCCAGAGTACATTGCAATGAAGGAGTTGCAGGAACGGATGAAGAAGGGCAACCCGGCTATTCTCAAGTCTATGCAGACCCCTCTGGAGGAGTTCCACGAGAAGCAGAGAGAAATTAAGGCTGCCCGGGGCGAGCCTGAGCTATCTGAACATATGTTGACGAAGCTGGGTGAGATCATTGCCAAGACCAAGGCCACATCTTTAGAAGATGCGGGCGTCACTCCACTCCCTACCGAGCCAGCAGAGAAGACGACAGAGAAGACCGTTGATGCTCCTTGATCGACCCCATAGTGTCTGGTGTGGGACCTAGGGTAATGCTTGGATGAAGAAGATATCGTATAGTGGAAAGCTAAAATGTAATATTAGCATCTGTGCAATAGTGTACATCATACATACAATGAGTGCCCGAGAAACGCACTTTATTTTGGACATGACTTTTTTCTCATCTTTCATGAGGGCAGCTACTGGATGTGGATATGAAGCAATTACGTTTAATTACGACACAGGAGACAAGTATGTGCAAGAGACAAATATGTGCAAGAGAGTTAACTTTTTATCGAAACCTGTACGGTCTTGTGTGGGACGCCGCAGAGCAATACAGCAGATCCGGACCCTGCCTCCAGCACAGAGTCCATCGCAATGATTTTCTACCATCTCTCCCTTTATTCTTTTCCCTTCGAGCTTCTTCACAAGCTACTGCCCGTGGAGCGGAGCACATCTACCGGCTGAGTCCCCCTAATTTAGTAGATCGGTTTCATTGTCTCAGCGATGGATTTGCCTATATCTAATCCTAATCTATTTGAGGAATCCTATCTATAACCGAGGCCTTGAAAGATGAGTGCCACGATGATTCTGTACTGTGCACATCATCCGGGTTTTCGGCAAATCCTCCCTGGAGACACGCTCGAGTGGCCTCCATGTAGCGTTTTCCCATAGATATTCCAAGCTGGGGAACCCTTCGCTCAACAATCATGTCCCTAAACCCCTTGTTCGTGACGTCCTTGAAGGTCTTGGAATCCGTGAGCGCGGCTACTGTATTCCACAGACCAATTTCCAACAGGAGCAACCCAATAGAGTAATAGTCAAACTCCTCTCGATATCGGGTATCAGTGTCTAGATAGGTTGGGTGCTGATACTTGCTTAGCTCACCGCCATCTGCAGGTCCAAAAGTGATTGATTCTATTTTGCTCTCTCGGCTGGCTGCAAACCCGAATATCCGGGGACCTTTTGCCCATTCAGACTGGTTGGCATCATCTGTGGGGAAGAAGATGATATTAGACGAGTGGATATTTCGATGTAGCCAGCCTATCTTATGAAATGTGTGAATGCTTTGACAGATCTCTCTGGCCATATTGAAGCGGTCACCAAGAGAGGGCTGGTACTGACGACCTGCGGTGAGAATCCACCGGAGCGTAACTGCATTTGTTGTGAGTGGTGGCGGCTCGTAAACAACACCAAACGCTCTGTTAGACGAGTCATGGAATAGACCAAGGCAAGGCAAGGCTCCGGGAATTTTGGAGAGCGTATGTTGGTGAAGGAGGTTCACCACCGCGCTCAGCCGACGTAGTAGTACCTCCCCGTCGACCTCGTCAGCCCATGCTCCCTGATATTTCAACCACTCCACCAGTACGTGCTTGGAGCCAGACTTCATTATTGAGAAGTCGTGTATGTCTACACTCTTTTGGTATTTAACATCATTTGAGTCGAGTATCAGATGTTTGTGCTCGGTAAGAAGGCCGGCTTTAGAAAGAGCCGTCAGTCGTTTGGCGGCTATCAAGATCCCGATGTCATCATTTCCAGCCTCGGTAATGGCTATCGAGAGGGCCTCCAGGATGCTGGGCTCGCGATACCCCAGAAGCAATCTTTCCAGTTGCTCCTTGGCCAGGGAGCGGTATTGTGCTGGAAGGGCCTCGATGAGACGAGCATGCTGGTACCGAAACAATGATGACTGTCGGTGCGAGTTGGTTCCAAATCTACCATCAGGGCCTGGACCAAAGATGTCTGAAGTTTCTCGGAGGGCTTCAAGTGTTTCCTTATAGTCGAAGCTAACGTCTTCAGAATTTGCGTAACCAACTGGGCTCATGCATGTATCAACCATCTGATTGAAAGCAAAGAGCCAGCCCGCATACCGCATTTGGTCTAAACACTGATCGAGATTTTGGGAACTTGCAGTCGAAACACGCCCAAGAAGCTTCCCCACAGTGTCGGCGAGATCCAACACTGATATGCAGCAAAGGACTTCATGGACTTTCTTGGAACCTGGGCGCTTGCGTGGGTCTAGATGTAGCATCTGAATGATTAGATCAACCATGCGGGTATGGAAAGGCCCACAGGCTTCGCTCTGAAGTCCCTCCAACCATGATTTCACATTTGGATTCTCAGTCTCAGGGCCCAGATGGAACCGAAGCCATTGGATATCACTTGTGATGCTGACTTTCCTTTGTTTCTGAAATTGCAAAACCCCGGCTGGCCCCCGGAGCATAAACGTTAGGACTTCGGATATTATACAACCAAATGACCAGATATCACTTGCCCTACTAGCCTTTGAAGACTGAATCGTGCCATCTTGGACCTTCTGGCATTCAGGCGCCACGTATGAGCCCCGAACCTCCTTAAATGCAGTGAGAGAGTCGTCGTCGGGATTTTTGAGAGTGGATAGCCCGAAATCAGCTAGGAGAAAGGTCTTATCATGAATAAGAATATTTCTAGGCGCGAGATCATGGTGACAGCCTGAGAGGTTCTGGTCTAATGCCTGTGACTTGAAATTGTGTAGAGCGGCAAGAGCAGAGGCCAAATCTGCCAGTGCAAAGGTGAGCTCGGATCCACTGAGTTGACTTGAGCTTCGTCCCTTTCCGACAAGAAAGTCGGCCAACGAGCCTCCCTGTGCAACGGAGAAAATGAGGTTGTGTCGCTTTCGGTAAATGTAGGAGCAATACAGCTTAACCATGTTGGGATGTTGAAGATGGGTGAGCATGGATATACAGTCTAATTCTTTTTCAAAGACAGACATGCTGTCGGCATGTTCACAGGAAATTTCCTTTCTGGCAACCTGTATTTGCCAATGAGTCAGCGCTGTTAAAATATCTCCCAGCACCGAAGAAACCTACCTGATGTTTTGCCATCAACGGAAGTCGATGACACTGTGGGTGAACATTCGCTATCCATACTGAACCCATAGATCCTTGCCCTGCCTTCTCTTCAGAAAGAAATGGCATGATGATTTTCTTGTCCAGCTTACGAAACACGGCATGTTGATGCAGGACAGGCACAGTCACCTCCCATTGCTTCTCAACAAAACGTTTTACCAAAAGGGAAGTTTTATCCACCCCTAGGATATCTTCCAAAATTTCTTCTTTATATGGCAAATGATGATCAGGGTAGGATTGTTGAAGCGAATCGTGTCGGAAGAAACTTGGGATTTCCTCGCCATGATCGATCAAAATCAATATCGTGAAGCACCTTTGAGCACCCTTTAATATACTGCTTGCGAGATCGGGGACCTCGTGCCGTGGGATCGCAAGATCTTTTAGAACATCCTTCATTCTCTGTTCCGAGAAAAGCTTGAGCAGGGAGTCTTCTGGGAAGAAACAATGATCTTCATTGTTGGTATTCGAGAAGCGAAGCTCTTCCAGCTCCTCCCGGAATCGCATTTTGTGATCCATACTGAAGACAGTAATCAAATGAATTCAAAATGGTATTTTAGAGAGACGGTGATTTCGTAACTCTTGCCCTCTTCCTGTTGAAGAGGGCTACGAGTCAGCTCCAGGACACTTGCCGCGTTTGTTGATTCTCTTGTAGTATTCACGAAGAAAATTGGAATAGACCCGCACCTTTCAGCTGGGTATTGAGCTGATGGATCAGGCATCAATGTTTATTTGCTGGGTAGCAATTGTATTGATTTGATACGCGTAATAACCTCTTCTCCCCATCAGCTGAAACCCAGCCTTATCTTCATGCACTTCTGTTCAGCTACCCCGCTCGAATGTTCCAAGTGGTAAAATGTACATAACCGAGGCATTCTGACTGGTTGGAGGATAGGCAGCTGCTGCCTAAATATGCACTTTCAACACTCCTGCATGCGCAGGTTTGGTGGCGTAAGACAGGGTGCTCACTAAATTGCTCTAAGATTGGAATCATTAACGTCAGAATCACCAAATATTGTGGAACTACAGATAGCCTTCATGAGTAAAATCAGATCTCGGGTTTTGTGACGTTGCTTGTTCCTAGATAGTAATATATCGGATGGTGGAAGAAACAGAGTGGCAATAAGGGGAGAGATTTGATTTCGGTTCCTTCTCGGAGCCCTTGATTTGTAGCGTTTAGAAGATCAGTTGTGTCTAAGAAGATTTGACTGGTCTTGGTTTCCATTGTGGAATAAATGATTGACAGATTCCATAAACCGAGGTAGAGGCGCTTCTTTCTTTCAGGGGGGAAGTTGCTCGATCCTGTACATAGGCAGAATGATTCAGGAGAATCCAGATGGGTTTTGCGTTCGGCTGGTATTGCTGATAAACTCCGGTCTGTTTCAAGGACCACGGATCACTACAGCTACGTCTTTAAGCATCAATATCCTCCTCATTCACGGTTGAGTAGTTCATCCGAAATCACACCTAGTTGATATTGACCACCTTAGACTATCTATAATTCTGCCTCTGGACTTTCCCAGCTATCCAGGTCGGCGATTGCTGCCTGCACCGCGGGATCATCTGACCCTCGTCTGACTTTAATCACATCAATCATCGTTTTCATCATCTCTTTACCTTCTGACACTCGTCCCATAGCGTACCAAGCAACAGCTAGGTTATACATGCTCATCCGCGTAGAAGGATGATCAGGACCTAATGTGTCCTTGCGAATCTCCAAGACTTGCAGCTCTAGCTTCTCTGCCTCCTCCCACCGACCCTGATCCCCAAATACCAATGCGAGCCTAACCATACTGATCAAGGTCTCCGTGTGCACAGGTCCTAGTTTCACCTGTTGAGCTTTCAGAACTTGCACCCCCAGCGCCTCTGCCTCATCTAGCCGCTCTTGGTTCCTAAATATTTCAGCGAGAGCGGACATACTCGTTAACGTAGAGGGATGCTCATGCCCCAACTTTAGCTTTCGAGCCTCAATCACTTCTGCGTATAGCCTCTCCGCATCATCCAGTCGCCCTTGGTACTCCGCTAGCGACGCGACGTCGGCGAGACTTGATAGTGTGTCTGGATGGTCACGCCCTAGTCTCGCCTGACGAGTCTTCATCACTTCTGTGTCCAGCTTTTCCGCCTCCTCCCACCGCCGCTGGTTCTTATATATTGAGGAAAGATTGCACACACTTATCAGCGTATGCGGATGGCCAGGCCCTAGCGTTATCTTACGAGTCTCAACGACCCGTATAAATAACGCTTCCGCCTCCTCCCATCTTCCCTGGCTGAATATGTTTGATGCAAGATTGGCTATAAAGGTCACTGTGTCAGGATGCGTAGGTCCTAACTTTGTCTTGCTGATGTCGACCACTCGTGTAAACAGTGCCTCTGCTTCCTCCCATCGTCCTCGGGCCCCAATGATTGACGCAAGATTGCCCATGCTAGTCAGTGTAGCAGGGTAGTCGAGTCCATATCTCGATTCATGAGCCTCTACCACCTCTGTCTGAAGCTGCTCTGCGTCATCCAACCGCCCCTGATCGCTATATATAGACGCAAGATCTCCCATGCTGGTTAATATGTGTGGATGCCCAGGTACCAATTTCATCTTGCGACCCTCCATCACTTGCATCTGTAGCGTCTCTGCCTCCTCTAACCGGCTTTGCTCTTGAAATATCGATGCCACTTTGTACATGCTCGTCAAAGTTTCGGGGTGGTCGGGTCCTAGTTTCACCTTGCTGGCCTCCATAACGTAAACCTCGAGCTCCTCTGCTTCCTCCCATCGCCCCTTATCCCGAAACACTGATGCAAGATTAGACATCCAAATCAGTGTGGAAGGGTGGTCTTTTTCAAGTCTTGTCCTGCTCGTATCAATTACCTGCCGGAGTATCTTCTCAGCCTCCTCCCACCGCCCCTGATCTGTGAGGGTCGATGCAAGATTAGACATGTCCGCCAGCGTTTCTGGATGATCAGGTCCAAGCCTCGCCACACTTGTTGTTGCCACCTGTCTCTCTAGCGTCTCGGCCTCTTCAAATCGTCCCTGGTTTTTGAACGTGAGAGCAAGATTGCCCTTACTGATTAATACGTCCGGGTGCTCTGCTTCCAGTTTCTTCTCTCTGGTCTCGATTACCAGTCTAAGTAGCGTCTCTGCCTCTTCCCATCGCCCCTGGTTAATATAAATAGATGCGAGGTTGGACATGCTGATTAGTGTGGAAGGGTGCTCAAGACCTAATTTCATCTTCAAGACTTCCATCGCTTGCAACTCTAGCTTCTCTGCTTCCACCCATCGGCCCTGAGGTACCAATGTTGCTGCAAGGTTGGTAATGCCATTTAGCGTCTCCAGATGATCAGAGCCCAGCTTCTCCTTGCGAACCTCCATTACATGTCTATCGAGCCCCTCTGCCTCGCCCCATCGTCCCTGGCTGATTAGTATTACTCCAAGATTGGCCATGCTAGCCAGTGTAGTCGAGTGTTTAGGTCCTAGTGTCTTGGTGTGATTATCCATCACCTGTCTTAGTAGCTGTTCTGTTTCATTCCATTGACCCTTAAGTCGATAGACATCAGCTAGTACAGACCGCAAGAATTGGACGAGAGGATGTTCAGCTCCGCAGGAACTTGAGAGATCCTCCATCTCTCCTGTGATTTTCCTCTCTGCTTCACCCAACATCCCCTGCTCCAGGTATTTGTGCGTTAATCCCCAGTGCTGCCAGATACCGCGCTGGTGGAGTTGCGTGGCTATAGTATCGAAAAAGGTCTTATCAACCATTTCGAACCTCAATACCATATCCTGTATAGTATCTATGCTTTGGTTGATTTTCTCAACTAGGGCCTTCGCTCTGGGAACGTCCCTTCTCGCGCCAAAGCCGATATAGTAGCACAGAGCTTTCTGCAAGGTGATGGAAGGCGTGGCCGAGGATGCATTCATAACAGATTGGCCAATGTATGAACGAACTCGATAGTCGGTGGAATAGAGATGGTTAATGGAGTGCTGTAGCTGGAGGAGATTGTCAGGCAAGACAAGACACTCATGGGCCAATATTGCGTACCTCAAACTTTTCAGGATGTATGACATATCCAACAGTCTTTGAAGATGTTGGAGTAGTAATCGGTTTGAACCTGATGGCTGATTAGATTAATGTATCCTGGCAAAAAAACGATGACTGTTCGCAAACCTTGCAGCATCAACTTTTCCCAGGAACACTTCCAAGCCATCCATATCCCGGCTATCGCAATCTTCATCTAAAGCAGACTTGAGAAACATCTGAATCGCATCAACAAGGTATGGACAAAGGCGGTCGTCCGATGCTAACAATTTATCAATATAGTCTGGTAATTGCCGCTTCATCGTCCGTATGCTCTCCTCTGCCTCTGCACGACTTCCCAGCTCGGGAGCGTTTGCCTGCGAATCAGGCCCATGGAGGAGCCACAGGTATAAGAGCCCAAGGGAGAAGATGTCTGATTTCTTGGCCTCCTGGACCGTCCACGTACGAGAATGGCCGCTGTTCTCCGGTGCGTTCCAAGGATCCGACCGGGGCAATACAATCCGCTGCGTGCTATCGGTATACCAGGTGGAATAGCCAAAATCAATAACCTTGGCACTGTAACGTCCAGCCTGATCCTTGAACACGAGAATATTTTCCGGCTTTATGTCGCCATGTATAATCTCTAAAGGTCCATGTTAGCTCGATAGATGTAGAAACCAATGCCGTCTACGTACGGTTAAAATGCATGTCCATGATTGCATGTCCGATGTCGAGACAGAGTCCAAGTCGTTGCTCGGCCGTCAGACTACGCCCTTCATGACTCGCAAATCGCCAGAGATCCCCAAAATGGGACTTTTCAAATACCAGAACTGGCCATGGCCTATCATCGTGTGTACTGATATCCCAGCAAATCCCCTGCAGCTGAGAGATATTGGGGTGTTTCCGCACGAAGTCCTGGCTCAATATGATGATCTCGGTAATGAGTTGCTTGAACAAGTGCTCCTCGGCCACATAACCGCCACGCCTGTGGTAGGTCTTGAATGCGAAGCTGGTACTGATATCCATCAGAGCCTGATGAACACGAGCAGTCCCTCCGGCTCCCACAATGTCGCGCGCGGTGTCCCAGGCGAGGGGCAAGAATTCGATTCCAAACGCCTGTGCGGCAGCCATGAAGGATAGGATACCAAAGTTCCCAGGCTCAACGCTGTCTTCCGCTTCAAGCACACTGATATTGGATGACCAGACAGCAAACAAATGGCCAACGGCATCGGTAGGAGGCATTTTGAGGATTGTTGATTGAAATTTCACTGGTGTTACTGGCAATGTTGTAGAGACATATGAGGTTCAAAACGGCGTCGTGTTAGATGAAGGGAAAAAGCGCATTGTGCAGACCTGGTATTCATTCATACTATGAGTCTATGACGAGATCTAAAAGTGCAATATTGGGCATTGTTGCGTCAGCAAGCGCCACAGTTGGAGGAAGTGCAAGATTGGGCTTCTGCATATTGAACTTGGGTGAGCCTCGATCAACTGCTTACACAGGGCGGTAGACAACATGAAGCCAGCCTTGCACGCCCCGATGAGCCTCCTGCTGCCATGTTTAATAAGCGTCAGCAATATCTTCCCAATGAGGTGGTAAGTTTGGCTGAGGTGAGGTAGCATGGGGAAAGATGCAGACACTCGGGGTATTAGCTGGGGGCCTGGTCTGGGGTTGGAAGTGTGGGTGAGACGTCCCGGATTGCCCATCCTGGTCGTGAATAGGTCACGCAGGCTCTTCCCTTTTTCAACGACCGAGAGATCATAGATAGATGCGGGAAATGGGTTCTCCGGAGCCAATGTGAGTCCTTGCTCTTAGACCGGGTGATGGTGTGGTTAGTTGGTGTAGTCTGGGACCACTGCTTTCTCGATACCTTAATTGGCTGCGGATGGGCTTGTTGCTTATCAAAAACATGCTTATTGTCGCAGTCTGCATATTCGGCATCGAACCGACCAAGTGGGTGAAATAAAACAAGGCACACCAGAGCTCTTTTCACGTAAGGCAGGGACTTCACTTTTTATTAAACACAATAATAAGAGGAGAATAATAAATTATTCTACGATACTTAGCTTGATATTGTATGTATTACTAGATTAATTGTTTTAATATTGTGTTAAAATTCAGCGCTGGAGTGTCTAGGTGTGCCATGTTTTATGTCAGTCGCTTGCCGACCAACATTGACCCATTCGACTACAGGGTGGTTGGGTGTTCACGGTGAGTCAATCCATGAACCTGTAGTATTGTCAGGGCAGGCCGCAGGTGAGCGATATCTACTGCCAGAATAGGTAGGCCGAAGCTGGCAGTCAAAGAACAGACTCACCGGGCCTGTCGAAGCACCCAGGCCTACATCGCAACAGCACTTGGAGACTGGAAGATATCCGGTGGCGGGGGCTTCGCGTGGGGTGAAACGTGGTACGGCCAATGGGCCTTTGCCTATTCGCACCGACGCCGATCTTGGTGTCTTACATGGATGCCTTCTTCTCGGCGCCATCCCCAAGCCAACCCATGTCATGTAACACTGTGATTCTTCTTATCATTCCACACAGTGCAGGATAACAGACTAGAGGTGAGGTGTTTGGAGAAATCTTCAGGGATGTGAAATCATGGATCAGACGGCCCATTGGCTCTTCCTACCAATGGGGACAAAAGGGAGAGTTTCCCCTCCTTTGAGGGCGATCACTACAAAAAACATAGGTGCCCCTTCGTACGGTGGGGGTTCTTCGTCGCTGTTTATTCTACTTTGCCGACGGCACTATCTTGGATCAGATCGTCTACGATGGACTCAAAGGACGAGAGGAATCTTTCTGTTATCAAGGACACCGAAGTCGGTGGTTCTGAGGAGACGGCTCGAGTGGTAGATCATGTGGCAGAGAGAAAGCTATGTCGAAAGTTTGACGTGCGGTTGATGCCGGTCCTGGCAATCATGTGTAAGTCGCTGATAGTCCAGCACACAGGTCTCTGTCTTGTCATTCTGCACCTCATGTGCTCACGCTCATTACAGATCTCTTCAATGCCCTCGACAAAGGCAACTTGGGTAATGCGGAATCAGCCGGCCTGAGCAAAAGTATGTTGGAACGCCTCTAACCCAACGTTTCTCTTAGACACGCTGACATCTCCAAGACCTCAACTTTGCACCCAACCAGTACAACTTGCTGATCTCGATCTTCTTCGTACCATATGTTGTCTTCGCTCCGCCGGTTGCCATCCTGGGCAAACGCTTTGGCCCTGCTCGCGTGCTGCCAATCCTCATGTTCATTTTTGGATCCATGACGCTTTTGTCTGCAGCGGCCAATAACTTCGGGGGCCTCTTCGCCTTGCGCTTCTTCCTGGGCGCCGCCGAGTCTGGATTCTTCCCGTTGGTCATCTACTATCTGACCACGTTCTATCGTCGAGGAGAACTGGCTCGCCGGCTCGCGTTGTTCTACGCAGCCTCTAATATCGCCAACGCATTTGTAAGTCAGCAGACGAGAGAAATATCTACATCTTCTTGTATCCGTCGAATCAGGAATTAACAATAGTGCAGAGTGGTCTCTTGTCCTTCGGCGTTTTCCAGATCAAGTCCAACCTTCTCCCATGGCGGTATCTCTTCCTCATCGAGGGTGCTTGCTCAGTCCTCTTCTCGTTCTTCACATACTGGTACCTCCCTCTCAGCGCATCGGAGGCCAAGTTTCTCAACGAGGAGGAGAAGGCGCTTGCCTTTCACCGCATCCAGGTCGACTCCTCGTCCGTCGTGTCTGAGGACTTCAACCTCCGAGATTCGCTCAAAATCTTCACCTACCCATCCACATACGGGTTCCTAATGATCGAGATCTGCCTCGGTGTCCCCATCCAGTCCGTGGCCCTCTTCATGCCCCAGATCATCTCACGCCTGGGCTACAGCGTGGTGAAGACGAACCTGTACACCGTGGCGCCCAACGTCGGGGGCGCCGTGATGCTCCTCATCCTCGCCTTCAGCTCCGACCTCCTCCGCCTGCGCTTCCCCTTCATCATGCTCGGCTTCACCCTGACCTTCATCGGCTTCATCATCTACGCCGCCATCCAGGACGTCCAGGCGCAGCTGCAGCTCGCCTACTACGCCTGCTTCATGATGGTCTGGGGCACCTCGGCGCCCTCCGTCATCCTGTCGACCTGGTACAACAACAACGTCGCGCACGAGGGCCGCCGCGTCGTCCTCACGTCCGTCGGCGTGCCCCTCGCCAACGTCATGGGCCTCGTCTCCAGCAACATCTTCCGCGAGAAGGAGAAGCCCAAGTACGAGACGGCCCTCATCACGACGGCGTCCTTTGGGGCGGCCGGCTGCCTGATCGCCGGGTGCCTGGGGGCCTACATGGTCTTCGACAACTATCGGAGGAACCGCAGGGATGGGAGGAAGACGACTGCTGCCGATGTGCCGACGCACCGGCTGAGGGAGGGACCCAGTGCCCCCGAGTTTCGGTGGTTCTTGTAGGCTGGTGGAGATGGCACGAGCCCAGGAGGAGTTCCCCAGGAGGTGTTCCGCAGGTTATCTCATTATGTGGGGATACGCATCTATAATCTGGAGTCCGACAACCATTGCCTCGAGAGAAGTTCACTTTTCTCGCTACATATCGTTTAAGCCAGCAGGAGTTGGTAATAAAACGAGCCATTTACGTTTATCTGTGTGGAGTAGTTGTATGATGAAGTGGTAATAGGCCTACCTAGTATGAGATAATGGAGCCCCGGCAAACATCCATCTTGCGACTCGCAACGAGGAGCACAGTTTGTCGCTGGTTTTCCGAGGGCTAAGCCATGTAATTGCTCACCGAACATCTTGGTAGAGGCACTAGCGAGGAGACATCTCTTACCGCTGGAAAGGTTGTGCACAGGAGGGCTGGGGAAGATTCAACCGGGTTTCCTAATTTGATTCATCTTGTCTAACGATGATATTCATGACACATCTCCAGGGGTCAGTTCTCGGGAAAACAGAAACCCATGTAGCAGCAATTTAGCCAACGAAATACGCAGGGCATTCCCCGCATCCAAAAACCATCGGTAGTCCATTCTCGTATCTATTTGCCCGCCTTTCTCGAGGACGCGGGCAGGGACGAGTTAGTACGCACTGTGCGGACTGCCTGCTACGTTACCTTACCTTCTACTCTTGTAGAAAGCGAGCCGTCAAGCGTACATAATGTCCCTAGCTCGAGCTGTCAGTGTGGCATCCAATGTCGCATGTCCCGGCCGCCGTCTCACCCCCGCAGCAGCTACAGCCTGCCTGCCTAACTCGGCATCCCATGATTGGAGGTCCGCTGGTCGGCTTCCTGAGGAGAAGCCAAGATAAGGGAATGATCAGCGCTGGGCGAATCTGGCCCGACCGAGTGGAAACCAAGATGGAGCTCGCCTCAGCCCACTACACAAATAGCTCGGAGCTTTTGCAGTGCGAAGTGGCTGCCAGCAGAGGCACTCCCGAGCTCGGCATGTAACCAAACATGCGCGCCGTTGCTTTCGATACACCCTCATAAGCCGACGTGCATCCGTTCATACCTACTCACTTCCCCTCCAATTCGGCAAGCCTGAAAAGTATCTACCTTGATCTCTGCTATTGCTTCCCATCTTACCCTCTGACCTTGGTTTACAGGGGGAATTGCAACTACTCCCCGTACTACAGCAGCCATGGCCTCGTCGTATTCTCCCCAGGTCGGTGACCGGCTTGAAAGCTTGGATACGCCTTCCATGATCGTCGATCTGGATCTCATGGAGGAAAATATTAAAAAACTCATGGACAAGCTCCTACCGACGGGACGCAACATCCGACCCCACCTCAAGACTACCAAAAGTGCCGTTCTAGCCCACAAGCTCAACGCCGCCGGTGCCAAAGGTGGCTGCGTGGCCAAGCTCAGCGAAGCCGAAGCCATTACAGAAGCTGGGTTCAAAGACCTCCTCATCACATGCGAGATCATCGGAGCCCCCAAGGTGAAGAGGTTGGTGCAGCTGTACAAGAAGCACAGGAACATCAGGATTGTCATTGACAGCCACGAGGGTGCCACGGCCATTCATGAGGCACTTTCACAGGAGCCTGATCTTGCCAACGACCCCATCGACGTGCTGGTGGACCTGGACGTCGGACTGCACCGCACGGGTGTCGCCCCCGGCGAGCCTGCGTTGGCATTGGCACGGCACATTGCCAGCCTGAAGAGCCTGCGTCTGATCGGCGTGCAGGGATACGAAGGCCACCTGCAGCACCTCCACGATTGGGAAGACCGAAAGAAGCAGTGCCTGGAGTCGATGA